TAACACTTTTTAGACATCGAGAATACGACAGATAGACTAGGCCTATCCACTAAGGCTGAACTATCTATAAACCGATCTACTCGTAGTTTAAGAGACAGCTCCAGGCTGTTTCATAATAAAAGATTATGTGCGTGTAATTCTATAACTTTTAGGCTCAATTTTACTTGAAGTTGACGATTCAACCAATAAAGTAATATAAGTTTAGTTGTATGTTGTCTTGATATAGTACTAAGCTTTAAGCTATAATTAAGAGGGACATACGGGCCTGAGGTGCGTACTTTGGAGCTGTTTTTATGTTTTTTGTTGTGAGTTTTCAAGGAAACATCATATTATAAGGTGTCTGTGTTCACTTTTTCAGATAAGCCCGCAGAAAAATTAGTTTGCTGCTCCCTATGGTTCATGCAACTTCACATTGATATTTTTCAGGCGTCTTATGAAATATCTTGACCATGGAATCTAGATCTAAGGACACTTAATTTAAAACATTGACATTGTGTTAGAGCCCTAGGTTGTTTTTATGATTCGTTCGCTTCTTTTCAACAGCACATAACAAAACTCAGATTTGAATTAAACAAAAGACCTTTGGAAGGAATACTGTTGCGTATGAAAGCTCGAACACATTCTTCCATGACGTGACTCGTCGAGTTTTAGTTGCTAATTTTCATTTTTATACCATGTTCGAATTGATGTTACGTTTGCTTCTGGTGGCTTGACAACCTTTGGGAATTGGAATAGCTCATAACTACAAATCTTCATAGCTCAACCTCTTGCATTTTTTGCAAACAAAACTCATATGCTTATGTGTCAGGGTCTAATCCTGTCAATTTACACGGTGAGGTTTTTTCAACATTTGTACTTTTTCAGTGCATTTCGTTCCCAAGTCAGCGTTATCATCAGTTAAAGACCAAGCCTTTGGGCTGTCAATAAAAAACATTCCTCGATATACTACGACTTAGCATACATGCTTGATAAACCCTTTCAGCGAAATTAAACATTTCTTCGATATACTATTCTTTCCAAATCTTCCCGCCAGCTTTAGTTCAGATTTATGTTTAGTCCTAAGATACATTAATGGATGGCCATATACCAAAGTTTCTAAATAGCCGTATTGAAAAGAGACACGGCGGCGAGATCTGAAACTACATGACGGTATTTTCGAAACTTGAACTTGATATTAAAGTAATCACGTGAAGTGAAGGTTCTTGCTGGATCAACAAGTGCAACTGTCATACTTTTTTACCTCAATGTCAGATCAGTCATTACTTCTTTTGAAAGCACACTGTAAACACTGTAAACCGTGAGGCTTTTCAAGATTCCGCCTACGTCACACCCAGGCTTCTTGAAAGCATTATAGTTTTCAAAAGTTCGAGAATCTATTCTCTAGAATAGTCATGTAGCCTTCAGTGCTGGTTCGGGCCTGTTTCTACGCAGATCTTATGGACGAGGTTAATTGTATAATATCATGAGATGATCCATGGCCTATCGACTAAACTCTACCTGTTCACTCACTTAATGCCAGAACCACTGCACTCTGCCAACTCCTCCACTGTGGCTCGAAAGGGGTATCAACGCCCAGATGGCCATTGGAGTGTACTCAGCACAGTAACTCATATCCATCAATTGCCAGATCTGGAACTTTGAGTTATGATTTTATATATTTTTTTCTTCAAATATAGATAACATACTATTCTGGAGATTACTCGGCTCAAGAACACAGTGGCCGCGAAGCAATTAATACACTTGTTCTCCAATTGTGAGCCATCTTTCAATTTTTTCTGCCGCTCAGCATATGTATACCTCCACATGGCATAGATGTTTTAGATTTTCACAATATGGCAAGGCGCTTCGGTTGTAAACATTGAGTATTCCTGCTCACGCTCCAGTCCATTGCCGTTATACTTTCCAATAAAACCGTTTGATTTTGTGAGATTAATCTGATCAAAAAAGGATTTGTGAAACGAGAGCTAGAAAAGGGAAATCAATGAAAAAGAAATCGGAAAGAAGATACGAAAGAAATCGCACTATGCTGGAGCCTCGTGTCAAGAGACATGTCGCACATAGATTCCTAGTGCGTATATTATCAGAGCTAGCATCTTCACCAGGCACTGAGACTTGAGATAGTGCGCCGTTACAATCCACCACATATGGAGCCACCAAAAAAAACAAAAAATGAGAAGAAAGAATAAGACTCTCTATATATTTGTAACTGCTTGACGCCACATCAGCACAGACCCATTCCACACCAAGCGACCACCCATGAGCTGGTGGCGGGCTCCAGTCACGTGACCCACCCGCCGCCGCGGTGAGGGGCAACAAGCACCGATCACCATGCTGAGACCTTTCTTCTTCACTACAAAACATACAGAAAATGGCCGACAGATACTCGTTCTCGTTGACGACATTTTCGCCAAGGTACGTTTCCCCTCCGTCATGCCCAGCGTTCTCGCCACATTTTACTAACGTTTTCCTAGCGGCAAATTGGTCCAGATCGAGTATGCGTTAAACGCCGTAAAACAGGGTGTCACCACCATTGGTATCAAATCCGCCAGCGGCGTCGTTTTGGCGACCGAGCGCAAACTGAACTCCACCTTGGTCAAAAACGACTGCAACGCCAAAGTTGAGATGATCACACCCGACATTGCCATGACCTATTCGGGCATGGGCCCCGACTTCCGTGTACTTGTAGACCGCGCCCGGAAATTGGCCCACACCAACTACAAACGTGTGTACAACGAATACCCGCCAGTCAAAATCATGGTCCAAGAGCTCGCCAAGGTGATGCAGGAATCGACGCAGTCGGGCGGAATCCGCCCGTTTGGCGTGTCGTTGTTGGTGGGCGGCTACGACCTGCACTCAGACAAATACCAGTTGTACCAGGTCGATCCCTCGGGCAGCTATTTCCCTTGGAAGGCCACTGCGATCGGCAAAACCGCGGTTTCTGCCAAGACGTTCTTGGAAAAGCGCTGGAATGAGGACTTGGAGTTGGAGGACGTGATCCACGTGGCGCTTCTTGCATTGAAGGAGTCTGTGGACGGCGAGTTGACGGGCGAGAACTTGGACATTTCCGTGATCAGCGATCCGCAGGACCATTTGTTGGGCTTCAAAGGCACCGATGTTCCCGGGCCGCGGGTCAAGAATTTGTCCGCGGAGGAGATAAACGACAGGCTAGATGCTTTGTAGGCGTCGGGCGCTTTTCAACACAGCCTGTTCTAAGATAAAGGTGCATCGTTGTCGAAAGCGGCACTGATGAGCTGCTACTGAGAGTGAGAACCAAAGGCTCGAGAGCCGTGGTTCGTGATTATAAGAATACTGGGCTCATGCAGGCGAGAAACTGACATCTTGCCTTGCCGTTATGTTTGCACGTGCTCGACAAATAAGTGGACTCACGTCCCCAAAACAAATCGCGTACGGTTCGAGAATACTTGATACGATCCTAGTCCCTGGCCGCACTAGGCTACGCGAAGAGAACATAGAAAAATATAAGTTGCCATACAAACACCCGGTATGTCATAAGTCGGATAATCAGACATCCATGACAGACCTCATTATTGAAGAAGCTGCAGGAAGCCACACATGTAGCATTGGAGCTCGTGTTCTCTAACGACGTGATGTCGTTTGACCACTTCATACAGCGCTTCGACAAAATTTAGGTCACGCGTGTCTCATTCACAATGAACACCTCATATTGCTGATTTATTTCTTCTTCGTGTGGTCTATGGTGCTCCCTATCCCTGGTTATCTGAGTATGCCACAACTTTAATATTCAATTCATATGATTTTCAAGCAATTTCTTCTAATTTCTCGATCACTGCTTCATTTTTGAATTCATATGAATGTTCATTGGTTTGCTAATGCTTCTTATTCTCGAGAACCTATAACTTTGTCTCCTTCTCCATGCTGGAGGTATCTGGGTTTGATATCCTATAAACTCTCATTGACAAGTTGAGCAAAAGACTTTCCAAACCTATCTTGCAGATACCCATTGTGACGTATTTGTAGTATTCGAATGTTGGCATTTCATTCATCTGAACAACTGATGACTATCCATATAGTTTCTTGTATGAGTGGCTCGAAGCATCTAGTATTTTTTCATAAGATTCTGGCACTATTCGGCTGAACAACAATCGTTTCTTCAAAACGCTACAGAGTTCCATGAGTAAATAGCTGGAGATTTTATATTGAATATTTAGACACATTTTCGGTTTGGCCTTTTCTCATATCTCAGAAGTAATTTATAATTTTCGTGAGTTTGACTTGTTTCATACACAGTTGACACCATTACCATTAGACACGAGTGGCCGTCATAATCTTGTTGTGGGCCAGCAAACTCTTCCGAGAGTTCTGTGAACTAATGAGAGTCGAAAAAGATTTTACAAATTTATGTGGCTCGAAACCATCACGCGTTTTTTTAAGACTTGAGGTATTTTAGGGTATTTTGTGTGACCTAGAGTACATATTTATTGACGATGTTTTCAATACCGTCGACCTGCGCTTAAAAGATTTTTTTCACTCTTTGAATGTTGTTCGGCAATTAAGACATTTTGGGTCTCTTGCTGCTTTAATCTTAATAATCCCATTACTCGTAATTTCTGAAATCTCGATAAATATGAGGTCTGATCTCGTCTTCTCTCTGTGGCAGATCCAGAATGAGAATAGAGGACATTCAAACTTAGCTTTGGAAGCAAGTTGGTGGGCCAGAGTCCAAAGCCCGGTATTTGTGTATTTTCCTATTCAGACATACCCTTCCACCCTTTATTCTGGGTGTATGCAAACAGTGGTCTGTATATCTGTGCATACAAAGTGAACGCGCTGACAACTTTTTAGCCCGAAAGATTATTGTGTTTGAGTTCTGGATGTATTCTTTTGAATGGAACAGAACCCACACTTTCTATACCTTCACACGTCTTTGTGATGATTGGGAGATGCGTCAAGGAAACATATGTCGATGAACTTCAATTCAGCGCCGCTTTAGAACTTAAACCAAAAAAAGGCTATCACTTACTCATCTAGCTCATACTCTGCGTCTCTCTTGCGTGGTCTACTAGAGCTTGAACATGGTCATTGAGACATTTGAAAATGGATATAGTAGCATCATCTGAGTTAGACTTCCAATTTCGAGAAAATATTGAGCAAACGCATTCCGAAATCTCTGATATGCAGATTTATTACAAACTGGGGGTGAGAGTCTACATGCAAAAGTGTTAAAGGCATCTAGAATTTTGCTATTTTTTTGATTTTGAGATATAGCTCAATCCATGCCAATATGAGATGCTTTATTTGGTTAAAGATAGTTTTTGCCTAGCATAGTGTATTTGCACATGCATTAGAAATAAGAAATTCAACCAAGAATAGATTCGTCTTCATCAGCCTTCGCTTCTTTGTGATAAACGAGGCTACAGTTGCTTCACCACAGAAAAATTAGAATGACCTGAATATATGCTTTTAGTGTGGAGTTTAGAATTCGGAACCGCAATTTCACAGCAATTTTCTCATCATTGAATTTATACATCAGTTTCTTCAAATTCGAGAGTTCAATTCTGACAAATTTTGAATTTATTGTGGCCTTTAGTTCCAAGCTGACGGTCAAGCGGAGCTGTTTTTTTTATGAACACTCTCTTTTGAACGGCAATAAGCTAAAATGGATTTCTCTCCACCCAAGAAGTTAATGTAGACATATGAGCGGAGATTCTCCCATATAGAGACTTGTAAAACACGGGGAATTTAGGCTGGTGCAAGGCTCAATGTCATAGATTTCGCATGTACTTATAATTGTATAACGTTTAATCAATGAGAAACATGCTTGTCAGTCGAAGGGGTTTTTGGGTTATGGTTTGAGAAGTTTTACTTGAACTCCAAGCGGAAAAAAGGGCAATTTTAAGTTCTTTTTCTGAAATTCTCCGCCTTAGCTTAAGTCATCTCTCCTCTTTGGATGTCTCCTTGTTGCTCTGGAAGTCCAATGCGTCAATGTCAAGACCTGACTGAAGTCCCGATGAAGGGCTTCACCGGATCTTTGAGGCTTTGCCATTTGAATCCTCGATCTCAACGTCCCGCTGTCTCTCTGAAACTGCTATTGATCTGTTTCCAAAGCACGATTTCGAACTTATTCTGCTCGTTCATCACCTCCGTCTCTCCGGCTCACTTTTCTGCTGCTCACTTTCATGACTGCTGGCATGCTTATGACCGCCCAGAACATGACGTCCACAATGTCACCAAGTGATCTTGTATGCCTCCTTTGGGCATTCGCCTTGTCGCTTCTGCTCACTTGCGTTTTTATCAATGTTAAATCTATCTGCAAACACACTGTACAAGTGCACTCGCCCGGTACGCCCAGGCATGGCGCCGCATTGATTTCTCCGGAGCACCAGCACTATTGTACTCCGATTTTTTTTGGTAGATTATCAACGTATCATTATCTGTCTTTCCTGAGATTTTGCAACTTACCCGATGGCTCGGCCAAATAGTTTGGTTAAACGGATCGGCTGTCTACTCCAAACACATTTTTCCGGCTGCGCACAAATTTGCAATGCCTCTTTCGTGACGATACTTATATCTGGTGACAGCGTGCAAGTCTTGAGCCGAGATTGAGGAGACACTTGTGTACGAAGTGAGCCTTAATTTTTGGCGGGAGGAAATACATGCTGCTTGTTTCTTTTTTTTTTTCTGTTCTTTTGAAGGCAAAACCATATTTTTTTTGCTGGATTCATATGATTCGAGGAGCAAAACTATATAAATAAAATATATGAAAAACCTTGAATTAGCTCCCGGCTACGTACCAATGTCTTAGCTCGGCCTGTCTACTTTCGCTAGTCGCGGCCTGGACGGTCCTCATGGCCCGTATCTGTTTACGTATTGAATCTTACGTCATCGACTCCTAGGATAGGTCTCCTGTAGTAGTCGCTTCAACTCAGATAGTTGTAGCGGACTCAAAAAGAGCCTTCTTCCTGCAACTTCGCCACGCCTTCTAGTGTATATCTAAAAATCGTGGTGACGAACCAATTTAATTTTGTTCAGTTCTCTAAAGAGTTGTCGGCTGGGCCAATATTGAGTTCAGCTCATGGGCTTGGAAACTTTTAGCTCTTGGCACCAGTAATTGGATGTTCCACAGTATCGGATATATGACAGATGTTGGACTGTGGCAATCATCAGTGGCGGTTGTAGTATGGAGACCTGATTTGAGGTGTTTTTTGATTTTGTTTTGCTTTGCCTTCAATCATGCTTTCAGTCATGCTCATGATTCTGCTTTAATTCTGCTTTAATTTTGATTCAATTTTGCTTTGATTCTGCTTATAATTTTGCTTTAATTCTGTTTTGATTCTGCTTTAATTTTGTTTTAATTTGGCTTTAATTCTGCTTTAATTTTGTTTTAATTCTGCTTCAATTTTCCTTTAATTCAACTTTAATTCTGCTTCAAATCTGCTTTAATCTGCTTCAATCTGCTTCACTTCTGCTTTGGTTTTGCTTTAATTTTGCTCTTCCTTTACTTTTGCTTGATTGGTGTACCGGGCCACCCCAGTCTGGCTGTCTGGTTCTAGACACGATGGCGGGAATCTTGAATTTCTTTATACTTTTCTTGAACTTTCTAAAACGTCAAAAATACAACCAGTTATATGGTTAGACAATGTCAGATCTCAAGTTGAAATTAGATAGACGGCGCGAAGCGCCGGATGCCTGCCGAAGGGAACGGGAGGGCCACTAGTTATCTTATTTATAACGTGATAGTTGAGCTTAAAGAAATTTATAGAGTTGGGTCAAGATACGCTGATGTTTGTGGCTCGGACATTTATCTCTTTTCATTCTGGAACTTTAGTTTTTATGCTCCCATGGATATCAAAAAATCTAAGCTAAAGCTGGATTTCTATCTAGACAAGATAAGAAACAAGGAATGTCCAGATATACTTGACTGGGGTCAAAACCTCAACAAAGAATACGTTGCTCATTGTACTACTCGAGGTTATCCCAACTACCATTCATTTGTGTCTAATCAGGGCGAACAGGAGTGCAGGGACTTCACGGAACATAGGATTATGTACTATTTGATCACCAGGCTTGTAAAGAAAATTGAAGGCTACCCAGAAATCTGCACCAAAAACTCAAAACGCAACCCGCGATTCGTAGACAGCAAAGGTGAAAGCAAACGACCCAGGAAGGTCTGGAATAAAAACCTCAAGGGAGACAGTAGGCTCAAATGAGCGGGCAGGGCCGGAACCGAAGATGTGAAGCAGAAGGGGCCGGCCGTCGGTCTGGGGTGTCACTCCAAGGGCCGCGACGAGCGTCGGCGAGATAAAAAATATACGTGATCCCTGATCCCAGTATGTAACAGAGCGGAACGGCCGTGGAGCAATTACAGCCGGTGAACATTAAGAGAAAGTAGCTGCCTCGGGCTCGACTTTCGAGTTAGAAACGATGGCAGCTGCTTCTGCCGGGGTGCAATCAGCACGACGGAAACGGGATAAGGGAGTGGCCATGCGGTCTGTGAAGCGGGCGACCAGGGATGGCGATAGCAAGATGCCACCATTGGGCATCGAGGGCCTTGAAAAACCGAAAATACGATGGGCTTGTCTTGTAGAGTCCGGCAAGCACCGTAGCAATAGCGGACGTAAACAATGCACCCTTCTGTATGAAAAGCTCATAGACGGACGCGAGCTCGGTTTCCACAAACGGTAAGGTACCCAGTGTGCGAAGGACATCCACAAAAATTGGCAGTTCGACCGAATCCGGCGAAGTTGTGACCTGAAAGAGCGAAAAGCGACTCGATCCGGCCAGTCCTTATTCTCAGCAGCTCGCAAAATAGCAGATTATAACGCAAATTCGTTGAAACGGGGGTTGTGTCGGATCTGCGGGGCTAAGAAGGCAGCAAACGCCGACCTGGATAGGAAGTCAACGCGTGAGAGGTTATACATCATTGGTCTGCGACCTGTTGGAGAGGTTCGTGACCATGCACGCCGAATACCCTTTGAGGGTAGATAAAGCAGGATCGAAAGAGCGGCTGCAAACAAATATGAGTCTAACGAGCATGCCAAGTGTAAATCAAGACACACACAAATTGGTAGAGTTATCCAAGGGGCTCGAAGATGAGTCAAGAGGCGCAGAAAGGGATTGCGCTGGTGCAGAAAGAAATTGCGCTGGTGCAGAAAGTCCAGCACTAACATCAAGAGCGTGGGTGAGGTTCAGAACGTTGGTTATGGGACGGGCCAAGCTTTCAATGCGCCTCCACTGAGTAGAATCCCTTTTGGGAAAGAGACGACGGAAACCAGTCCGTGGAAGCCGGAAGAAACGGCGGAGGGTATGGCGGAGGACAAAAAACAGGAGCCCAAAGAAGAAGCGTCAAAGGACTGAGAAAACGCCGCGTATAAGCGGGATGAACAAAGGAAGTGCAACGACTCCGAGACGGTGGAACAAGGGGTCATCCGTATTCCTGGAGTGGTGAGACCATGTTGTGTAATACATGATTAAAGATGGCATTATGTGTGTGAACAAAGGTGAACGTATCATCGTAAATGACATAGGAAGAGTGTTCCGCCGGGAACGCAGCCTTCACAGAATATACTCCCGATGGAGCGAGAGCTGCGAAATGATCAGAGGGGATCTGAAGCGGTACGGCCAGATACGGCAAACCAAGGGCGTTGGTGGCCCGGCTGAGGGCTTGAAAATGAGCCCGTAAGTAGTAAATCGGGACAACCCAAAGCATGCCACGGTAAGAGTGGACACTGCCCCGGATGCAGTCACCATAATCTCGGGGGCAGAAGGCGACTGGAGCCACTGGTTGTTAACGAACTCCATGATAGGGGCTTCACGGGACACAGGGGTGATGTCTTCCTATTTGATCACTTGTCATTTCACGTGAATTGCTAGACCAACACCATATTTCACAGGCAATCTGATATTGATCATTTCAGATGTGAAACTAAGCTGGGACCTAGATTTGAATACTTGGAAGGCGGGAGAGCCACAGCTGTTGGCCATGTTGTATTCAGGATATGGTTTGATGTCATCGATGGTAGCAACCGGGATGTCAGTAGTAGGAAGCACGGACATGGCAGGTGCCGGGTTCTCTGCAATCTGCCCCGCGGCCCTTTCCGGCCAACATCCCGTCCAAGCGTCTTGCAAACCATCATTCACGGTTTCCAAGATGTAATTCTCATTTTTCAAACTGTCCTTCACGTTTCCCAAACCATTTTGTTTTCCACACAATTTTTCACGTTTTCCAAGCTGTATTTCACGTTTTCCAAACCATTTTTCAAGTTTTTCCAAACCATTTTTCAAGTTTTTCCAAACCGTATTTCACGTTTTCCAAACCATTTTGTTTTCCAAACCATTTCCTTTTCCAAACCATTTCTCACGCTCCAAACTGTCTTTCACGTCTTCCAAAACTGTCTTTCACGTCTTCCCAAGCTGTATTTCATGTTTTCCAGGCCAGTTTTCACGTCTTCCATACAGATTTCACGCTTTCCAAACCGTATTTCACGTTTTCCAAACCAACATTCAATTTCTTCCAACATTCAAGTTCTTCCAACATTCAAGTTCTTCCAACATTCAAGTTCTTCCAACATTCAAGTTCTTCCAACATTCAAGTTCTTCCAACATTCAAGTTCTTCCAA